CTAAACACAAGAGAACAGCACCCCCCCCCCCTGGAAGGGATGCTAGTCCATTGCAAGGTTAACCGCAGCATTAAATTTGCCAGTACCCATTTAAACACCTGGGTGATGAGGGACACTGTGAGAGTAAAGTGTCTTGCCCAAGAAAACAACACTGTCCCCAGCCAGGGCTTGAACCTGGACCACTTGATCCAGAGTCAAGCACACTTCACATAAGGCCACCACCCCTCGCCTTACCTGTGGATAATTATGGATAATTTAGGACAAATTGTTCCTTACGAACTCATTGACTGTTATCTTATCAGTGTTCAGACAAAAATTTTATCATTCTTCAAAGGTGATGATCATGCATGCTTTTCACCATCATGATAACCTTTTGACTGGAAAATAATGTGGTACTAGAAATTATCAATCTTTCATCTCACCTGTTCTGTCCTCTTTCTTTGCTCCATGGTCAATAATGTGTTGAATTAACTCCAGGTACTGCATTTCATTGTGATTTTGTGTCTTCACAAGCTCTTTTTTCGGTGGTGAAGTTTTATCGTTGGAAGTCTGAATATGATTATCACTACAACCTGTAACTGGAGAGCCTGTGTATGACAACATCCTGATGCAGTTGTATCAAAAGCCTGAAGAGAGACAAGTCTAACTGTGAGCCAAATGGCTCTATCAGTTTAATTTTTACCCTTTTTTTTGGGGGGGGGGGGAACAATCCAGGAATTTGACCCTCATCTGCGTGTAGGGGTTGGGGAATTTGAACCGGAATTGTTACATACACAAATGTGACATAGATTAATTTTACGTAGGACTAAAGTAGCAAAGTACAGAATGCTTTTCACCCCCACTCCCAAGGGATGCATAATAGAGCGTGCAGGATAAATCAGTGGATAAATCTAACCATGTAGAAGGAAAATATATCAGTAATAAAAAAGATATATGCGGCCCGCTAAGTTGTTGATCTCAAAGAATCGCTCTCAGCGACTCACCAACGAGTTGTGCGAACTACATATCTGCTTTGAGCGAGCGCGCGAATTATTGGTTTCATGCCCTTTGCACAGAACTTTGATTATAACATAACCAAAGTAAAGCGCGCGCTCTGATTGGTCAATTTAGCGTCCCCCATTTGCCCATGGGTGTACGCTGTTGACGTGAGCAAATGCAAAGACTATTTTTCCGCGCGCGCTTGTTTTTTCTGGTCACGTAAGATTTGTTAAATAAACGGGAACTCTTTAGCTACAATGTATCAGTGTTATGTTATAAAACAAATGGTAAACACCACACCGTACACTATTGAGTTATGGATGCACTTGGGAGGTTTGCTAAGCACTCAAGAAGCTAGAGTCGCTCTCGGCTATCGCCTCGAGCGACTCTTACGCTTCTTTCGTGCTTAGCAACCTCCCGCGTGCATCCATAACTCAATAGTGTACGCTGTGGTGTTTACCATTTGTTAATTCTTTTCAAACGAGAATCCTTATTTTTGGTAATTTTGTTTTTTTTAGTTTTACCATTCTCTGACTGTCTCTTGACCTGGACGCAGGAGCTCCTCTTT